AGTATCAATGTAAAGTCTCTGATTCTTCTTGAAAAGCTCCTTAAAATACTCTTTTTCTGTGATCCATTCCAATCATAAATGGTCATTCAACACTCTATTGCTACACAATTGGAACTTATCAGAAAAAAAAAAAAAGAGTCCAGTAACTGGCATACTTGCTTGAAACTTTGGAGATGCTGATTTAAATCCCACTCCACTGTCAGCTCTTGGGACAAAAATCACTTTGGATCTCAGTTCCCCACCCACAAAATGAAGATAATAGCATATATATTCACACACACACATACATACATGCATACACACACACAGCCAAGACTGTCAGATGCTATAGTAATGGTACAGGTAAGCTAAATATCTAACAGTGAAACCTTATACACCTCTGTCTGCTCTCCATAGCTAGAAAATAAAGCCCCATGCAAAATCCCCTTTTCACCTTTGATTATAAATAGCCTTGGCAGAAATCAATTGTCATATAATATTGATGGACAACTGTCAGGGCTGTTCCCCATTCTGGCACGCTGAGTGCAGAAGGTGAGGGCCTACAAGAGACTTTAAATACCTTGCCTTAATAGGCTCTGCTTAAAAAACTCCCCCAAGTCACAGATTCATACACTTTGAGAGGTAGCTGCCACCATCTAGTGATTTAATCCCTAAAAAAAAAAAAACACAGGAAGAAACACTTGAGATTCTTTCCACAGGGTACCCCAAGCTTTTTTAGCTCAAGAGAGCTTGAAAAACAAACAAAAAACACAGAAAACAAACTGTGTCCTTGATAGCGGACCTCTCAGGCTAGGCACACACACACAGATCTCCTGTTACCTTCCAGGACACAAATCAGCCTTAAAAAGGTGATTTGCCTTGGGGCCCGGCAATTCTAAAGGGCCCAGAGTTCACAGCTGCCTCTACTGCCCTTTAAATCGTCACTGGAATGCTGTGCGGTGTACTCTGGGCAGTACTAAGGGCTGGGAAGGGGGCAGCAAAGCATGCTGAAGGTGGTGCCGAGAGTTGACCTCCCCACCCCCACTGGAAGTGCAGAGTCGTCCCCCCGCCCTTTGCTCAAGGTCCTGGCGTGGCTGTCAGATGCTCTGCTTACTGATATAAATCTAATCATTCAAAACCTAAGTATAAGTGAGGCTGGCAGCACATACACACACACACACCCCATTGTTATGGGGCATGATGGGGATAGGGGACACTTACCTGGCTCTGTGCCTCCTACTGCTCTTAGACACTGTCCCTCCACTCTCGCTGTTCCCATTGGCCGTGATTCTGGCCATTGGGAGCAGGCTATAGTTCCCCTAGCCAAAGTGGGCATGGGCTGGAGAACCAGCACAGCCTCCCCACTGTGGGGAGGGAGGGAGCCCTAAGCCTGCACCTGCAGACCACACTTTGAGAATCTCTGCTCTAAGGGGATTGCTCATGTAGAGTTTGATCAGCAGTAGGAGCAGGGGATGAAGTTCAGTTAAGGTGGAATCTTTACCAAATTTGAACTGCCAAACTCTAACAAGTCTCTACTATGCACAAGCAAACAGATTTCTGGAGCTCTTGCCTTGACAAAACGTGTGTGAACTTTTAAAACAGGAAACATTCCTGACATTAGGGAGACTCCCTGGAAAATTTAAAATCCCTGATCCAAAGTAAAAGGAAGCTCTAGAGCAGAAATGGGTAACCACGAATAGGCCCTCCATCTCAGTGGGCTGGAGCAGCCCCCTCGCTGTCTGCTCTGCTCCCCTGCCCTCCCCTCCATGCCTCTCGGGCACTAAAACCTCAGACTTCCTACTTCTCTTCCTCCCTTCCAGCTAGGGTTGCCAGATGGTTTCACCCAAAGTAAGGGACATGCTTGACATTACATCACAATCTACATTACATCTTATTTAGAACATACCGGACATTTATATTTTCTCAGTTTGTTTCCCGAACAGAAAGCTCAAATACTGGACTGTCTGGTTCAAAACCGGACACCTGGCAACCCTACTTCCAGCACTGTTGGAGCAGCCTTCAAGCTCTGGGAGGAAGAGGGATGGAGCACAAATCAGCAGATTCATGGAGCTGTGAAGTACTGGGAGGGAGGGGAAGGAGCATGAAGTGCGGGACTTCAGTGCCCTAGTGCACAACAGGTATGTGGGAGGGGGGGCAGGCAGGAGGGCCGCAGATGGAGTCCTAAGGGACCACATGTGGCCCACGGGCTGCAGGTTGCCCACCACTGCACTAGATCCTCTAATGAAACAGCATAATTTGTTCTGAAACATGGGAAAATAAGATATTTTCCCCTTTGACCTCATTCTCATAAACTGCTGAACTACATTAGATGAAACTTCTACAAAAATGTCAGCCCAGACATCTGACACCGAAAAATTCAAACTTTTAAGCATAGTAAAATCATAAGCAACTGAAAACAGGGTCTTATAATAAGATGTGTCGGGCAAGCTTAACTATAAACATTGCAAACTATGCCACCTAGAATATCTCCAGCCCACTCCTCCCATTGTCTTACTGTCCTTATGGTAAAGATTTTTCAGGTGCAATCCGTCAGCACCCATGTCCCCGCATAAACAACCACATTCAAGTTACAGGAACAGTTAAAATACTGTTCCCTTAGGTAAAAAAAGAAGGAAAAAAGTCATCTGAGCTCACCTTTACCTAGACTGGGGTGGGCTATGAGCAGCCGTTGGATGCTTTATTTACCTGTGCATCCACAGGTTCAGCCACATGCAGGTCCCATTGGCCATGGTTTGCCAATCCCAGCCAATGGGAGCTGCAGGAAGTACCATGGGCTGGACCACTGCTTCCCACAGCTCATATTGGCCAGGAATGATGATCTGCGGACAATGGGAGTGGCAAGCAGCCATACCTGCAGACATGTAGGTAAATAAAGCATCTAGCAGCCCACCAGGGCCTAATCCTGGCAAACTGGGGGCCTTTTATTGCCCATCCCTGATCTAGACTATGAAAAGCTGCAGTAATATGGGTTATAATAAGGTAAATATAAATCTTCCATGCTGTTCTCGTCTTTTTGGTTTTTTTACTTCTTGCTCTTTCCCAGATGCAGGCAGCTTGTAACCTCTGTTTTTGTCACAGTATTTCTCTATACGCTGTCATGAGCCTACACTGACAGTCATACAGGGCAGGGAATGTATAATACAATAGTGTTCAGCCATCCTACTGTGCCTAATTGTTTCTGCTTACGATGCTATATAAATAATAGTAGTACCTCAATTGGAGTAGAATAGTATATTGAAAAACTTTTGCACTACAGATTGAAATGACTCCAGATATAATGGGTTGTGAGCAGTTCTGCAGGGGAATTGTGAGAAAGTTTTCTTCAGTGTTGTTTCACATCAGTTTTTGCAACATGCCCAAGCCTCACCCAATACAATGCTCAGTTTTGAAAAACCTAATAATTAAACCCCACAGAAAAACTACTAAGTTTCACCCAGTGTCACCCCAGCAAGTTACAGGAACTTTGGAAAACTTATAGCGACTTTTAAGTTTGTCATTAAAATCTGCCCAGGTCAGTTTCACATGGTTTGAGTTTTGATTAACAGATGTTAAAAGTGCAGTTTTATCATCATATTGGCTGAAGTTTCTCTCTGTGAAGGAGAAAAATAACCCTTTAATTGGAGTCCCCCAAGCCTACCAATGAGGACTTCTGCCAAATCCTGCACAACAGTTCTTTATGGCAGTCTTAATAAGAATCCACTCAAAAAGATGAATTCCACTCAATTGCTTTGATTACTGAGGGTCAGTTCCTCGGCTGGTCTAAGTGGATATGGCTCAAGGAAAGTCAATGAGGAGATGGGAAGTTAGAATTATGCTGATTAACATCTTCTCTAACCTCAAGGGTTCAATTCAGTTCCTAGCATCTCTGCGACCCAGCATCTCAGTTCAACACTGGGTCACAATGGCCAGGGAGAAGATACATCCAAGGTACCAGGAGGTACAAAGAATCAGGCTGCTGCATAGGCAGCTTAGCACATTATCAATAAAGTGTTCTCTTCTTTTGCAGAAGCCACAGGGGACCCTGCTCAGGTAAAATCCTTCTGAGGTGAAGGGAGTTAAAAATTCCATTTTTTTCTAGTAAATTTCAGAAATATCACAAATTGTCATTGAACATTATCCCTCCCCTTAACAGTATTGCTACTTGGCCTGCTTGCATTATACCACTCATTTAAGTTTCTTGACACGAAGAGGTTGTAAAAAGTATCTTCCAGCATTGTCAACCTTAGTAACTGAAAATCATCTTAATGTGCTAAAGCAAAATCCACTTTCAGAGTCAGAATGCTGCAGCTTTGAGGTGAGAAGATCATCTACTCAATTATTAAAACTAACGTCTGAAGTCTAGCAGGTATTTACAGGAAAGGAAGATCTGACGAATAGGGTCAGAATCATGGAATTGTTTATATACAAGCTTAAACTTGTCTGTAACCAGGCTAGCAGGCAAGTTCGGCATGTTTGCATAAAAGTCTTACCCAAAGGCAAACAAAGTTAATGGAATATCTCTCGTTGACTTCAGGATTAGGCCTTTTATACTCTGCACTAGTCAAATTAAATTAGAATAAACATGGATAGTGGAGGTTGTGACATCCGAGCTATAGAGTATCCTTTCCATATCACTCTATTGCCAGGTAATCTTAAAGCAAACCCTCCTTCTCTGTAGACCACTTTAAAAATATAGAAGGAAGGTGCAGATATACAAGATCTATAAGCCTGAAAAATAGGTATGCATCAGGAAGTGGAAGTCTAGACATTCTCTCTAGATTGCAGAGCACAAGCTCTTAGCTCTTACTACCCTCCTTTCATTTTTTCTCACTGGGGGTATCTCTAGACTGCAAGCTTCTTTTG